TGAATTTACTTCAAATTTAATCGCTGAGTCATTACAAATATATTCTTCCTCTTTAACATCAGACATCATGTTTTTTTTAATTTTTTTGTCATATTTTGTTTAAAGTTTTGACTAGTTACTAAACTTGTGTTTTAAAAAAATTTAGTCTGATGAAATAAACTCTTTTTTTTCATTATTATCACAATTGATTGATCACTGGGTGGTGATCAATGTCTATGTCATGCTTGTCTAGTCCTTATTAGTGCAGATCGAATGCTGTCGATTGTGTTGCAATGTGGCCACCAGTCTAGGTGACTCGACACTGCGGGCACTATGTATTGAGATTTAGATGGTGGTTGGAGGCAGTCAACAGGAAACCCTGGACCCGGGTTTCGTGCTATTTGGCACTCGTCAGCAAGATGTACCTGTAATCTTGAGGGAACTGGTGATCCCTGGCGGATTCGATCTCGTGTCACCCAGCTTCACAGTCAGAGACGTTACCACTGAGCTATCCGAGCCATGACTATCCTCCTGTAGGACTGACATGTAATCACAATTGATTGATCACTGGGTGGTGATCAGTTACATCTATCCCAGTAAATATCAGATATTAATGCATTGACTTACTGAATGTATATTATTCTAGAGCTTTATGTTAACTACTCTGTCCAGTGATTGAACTTTACATGAGGATAATATTCAATAACGAAATCATAGTCCATATATTCAGCATTCGAAATAAGTCTATAAACTAGCTAGTTATTTTATTCAGATGTCTAAACAATAACTTATTTGTCTTCTGTGTTGATATAACAGTAACCTAATGTTGTTTTAACAATTAAATTATACAGTTTCAGTTAGTGTGTGGCAGGTTTGAAGCTTAGATAAACTTTCAAGTTTTAACATTTACATAAAACAACAATCATGTTATATGGGTTAGATATTTAATCTCCACTAACTCCAGAAAATGGTTGCAAAATATCATGAATTGACCAGAGTTGTAAATGTAAACTATTAGATGGTATGAAGGTATAAAGGTTAAGCATTGTCTGACAGATCTGACTATCAGTATTGAGTTGTGGAGATAATTAAGTTTTTGATTGATATCATGAGCCGATTGATGTTAGACCATTATTGAAAACCTAGAAGCCCTGGCATGCCGTTTTGTCCTGTTGTAGAACTCCTCAGCAGTAAGTATCCACGGCCCCGCTCGCGGAATTCCAACCCAGGAACTTCGGTCTCGCGCGCGAACGCTTAACCTCTAGACCACTAAGCGGGCATCCAACGGTGTTAATGTCTAACTTTAACCAATCCACGAAACTGCGTGACCATCTTTCACTGTACTGAGGTAGATACCTCTGTCTACCTGATATAGATTGGCTACACTGCTCACGAGAATTCCCTAAAGAAGCTAGTCATTAGTAAGCATATGATAATTATCAGTATTGGGTTGTCGAGATTTTTAGGTTTTTGATTGAGATCATGAACCGATTGTTGTAAGACCACTATTGAAAACTGGGTTTGATCCCTGGTGGAATTGTGAGTGCATGCTGCTGAGGAATCCCATAAAAAGACTAAATGGTTACTCAGTTCCTCCTGGTCTTCATTGGTTGTTGAAATATGGTCAGTATATGATGTAAACCATATGATTATGAAATAATACTGATTTTTTACATAGTTAAAAGTGTAAGAATTAGTGACCCCTGAAGCCGAATATTATTTACAAGGGATATTGTGTTCAGTAGCTTGAGTTTTGAAAAATAGTGAACATTTAACGTATTCCAAAAGATTCTCGACATTTATTGTTACTTACTTACGAGTAATATATTATACCCCAAGGGAAATTATTGGTTTAAAGGATTAAATATAGTGATAGATAAAACAGCATGTAATATTAGAAGGGTTAGATTAAAATATACACTGAAGTTTATTTATATTGTGTTCAATGGGAAAATACAAGTAAATAACATAAAGTGAATTATATTCAATGGTTTACAGATTTTTGTTGATTTTGTTGTTGTTGCTGGAATACACTTAAGTTTTATCCATCGTTTACTTAACTGAAATGATTAGATATTTACTCTAATGTCACAGTGATTTGTTCTAAGTCATATCAATTCTATTCTTATCTAAATAAATACTATGACAATTAAGAATAGACTATTCGATAAGTGATGTTTACATAGATTTGTAATTCATTCATTGTTTACATATGCACAAATTTACTATGATACTGATTATTTCGATGAATAGAAGTTTCGATTTCACAAATGTTGTCTTATATATATATATATAGTTCTTATTCGTTTATTTCCGCTAATAAATACACACAACTAGAGTTAGTTATGATTTTATAAGAATAACAAACGATTTCCAATGCTTTGTTTATATTAATACTTAAATAAACATTCAAGATATAATAATAAACCAATCAGAGATGAATGATTAAAATGAAACTACCTTGAATGTATAAAACAAAGAATAAAATCTTTCAGTCATTTGAACTGTATACCATTTGAATAAGAAGAGGATAAGAAAAAAAAATTTTCTTTTTAAAGCTAAAGAAGAAACAACAGAGAATTTTATAGGTATTCATTAATTCATATCGTTTTATTCCATATGATTTCACATGAAACGAAGCGTTTATGCATAGTTCTAATTATTCTTTTGAAATATGTACGTTTGTGTGATTGTAATAACTAAGAGCAAACTGTGATTTCAATGATTTTTAGGGAAAAAAAATAATAGTATGAGATTGGGGGAATGATGTGCAGATAGTGTGGTAAACAATTTTATGACGCCATGTTTTATTTTTTAAGGTCAAACTTAAGAGGTTTATTGGTTTTTCATATGCATAGAAATGTGTGTATAGGAGGTGTTATTTTCAATGTAAAATTGTATGTTCAGTCATACTAAAAATTTTTTTTTAGTTGTTTAGGTAAAATTTTCTTAAGTGTTTAAAACATGAACAAAGGACTTTATGAATTTATTCTTAAAAATAAACGGGTAGTAAGAAAAGCTTTTCATTAGGTTGTAAAAGTGAAGGGTAATGTTTGTTAGCATGAGCTAAGAGTATTTATAGTGTTTGATGATAAGAGTATATGCGGGGTATGGATATAATTGAGGTTTCAGGTTTCCATTCCTATTAATTCCAATACCAATTTAGAGCAGGCAAAGCAAACAATACAAATTATTAAACAGAAAAAAACTACGCACCTCTGTTATGCTAGTCAGGAAATCATCAGAATTTTACATTATTAGCTCCATCCGACACTGTCATCAGAATGTTTGATACCAAAAAGTTTATGTTACTCAAACGTTAAAGAGATATCTTAAACCAGGATTAAGTGATTTTTGGTATTCGGAGAGTGTACAGAGAATAGACAAAATTAGACAACTAGTGTAAAGCATAGTATAAATGACTACCCATTCAATTTACCCTACTTAAAACCAATGAAGATACTGGAAACTAACAAGTTGAGAAATAAAAGACAAAAATATTAGTAATCACAGTGTTAACAATATCTATAAGTTATGGTTTTAAAACATTATTTCCTTCAGAGAATGAACAACGTCCCATTGACTGAAAAAATGTATTAGTTTGAATATTAATAACAGACTGGGTGGAGAACGTCCCATCATTTAGATATAATATTACCATATTCTTGAATTCAGTTTGGGTTAAAGAGATAAATGATCACCAAGAATATCAAGCAGTTTAAGACATGAATTCCAAAGTTTGGTGGTCTCAGTGAATGAGATTCATTACGATTCCCAGCCTTTATAAATTGAATACGGAATTTTTTGTATGACTTAGATATATTTGAACCAAATGATTACTTGAAACTTAAATATTGGTACTGAAATGACACGAACATTTATATATAAATATTTAACTACTGAAAATCATTTAAGTAAGTAATGGTGGTTCATAAAAGTTTAGCCTGTCAACTTTCCACCAAACCGATTTGAGTGAAAGCAGGTAAACACTGATAAGGTTTTAACCAATATTTTGGTAAGTATCAAATTTTGTCATTGAAAGCCTTTAAATATTGCATACCTTTAATTGAAGGATTAGGCGCTGCTATTATTTGGTTGGTTTTGTTTTTTAATGAAATCATGTTTCGATAATTGAACATAGATTTAGATATTAAATTTGGCATTTTAATTGTGATTAGTGTCTAAGGGAAAGGTTCACTTGCTTGTCAGCTACTGTGATACTATTTAATTGCTCCTAAGCTCACAAATGATATTGGTTAATTATATTTTTAGGCTTATTTTATTGTTTTAGGTCTGATTTTGTTTAGTATGAGAATTATTATCAGATAATATGCAACAAAACATACGGAATCATATCAACACAACGGTTATAAATGAATTAAAATGTATGAAAAAAATTTCATTAATTAAAGGAAAATTGTTACTAACTTATGAAGCCCTTTGTGATGATATTTATGGTTCTTTATGTTCAATGAAGATGATTGCAGGTTACAATCTTACATGCTCAATGATGGAACATTTAAAATTTAAACTGGCTAAACGAATAATAATTACTTCAATATCTAAAATGGAAACTTATTTTTGAGTGATCTACACAAATGCGAGTAATGAAAAATATGCAACCAAATAATAGTTACTCACATGAGAAATAATTCGAAAACTTTGCCTACATGCTAAAGTGGTTGGGCTTAATAGTTATGTTTTGTAATTTTATAATCTGTCGAAAACTGGGATAGTTTCGTGATGACCAGTTATTAAAATCCTATTTGAGACAGAATTTCCCATCTGACTTCAATTATCAACAATGTAGACAATATATATATATATATATATATATATATATATATATATATATATATATATATATATATATATTCCTATACTTGTTTGAAGATCAAATATTAATGTTAGATGAAATGGATCATTTAAAATGTCCGTATGTAACAGTGAAAATAGTTGAACATTATGTAATTAAAAATGTAAAATGAAAACTACATTTTAAAATGAACTACATAATTTACCTGATTTAAATACTTTAGAGTTACATTTGAAAATTTGTTCAATTTCATGTTCAGAAAATTGAGAACAACTAGTCTGAACAATAGTACACTAGTTAAAAAAGAAAACAGATAAATAAAAGGTTATTTTATTTTTCGAAAAAGAGAGGAAGTATTCTTAGCATGCGGTGGAATCACCGCAACGCTGACTAGCATTATGGAAGAATGACTAAACGTTATAAAGAGACCTCACTAGGATATACCATGAATTCATGAAATCATCATTTCTTAGAATGAATTGTGTTGAAGAATGTAGGCTTCTAGTTATTTTCTGCATAATAACTATGATATATGCACAAAGGTGGTTTAATAATCAACGGACTGGGTCTTCTACCCGTGGGTAACAAGTTCAAATGTATTCTATCTAGTTTAGTATAGACAGTCAGTTAGTAGTAACAGTGGTTTTCCTTCACAAAAAAACGTGTAATTCAAACTGGAATATAAAATTTTTCACTCATTAAACAAATCACATATGCTTGTTTACTTAGAGACCGATGATGATGTGGTTCATGAATGATAACAGTGGTCCATCTGTATTTAATCCCTATTTTCTTCTAGATCATGAGTTTTACTACAATTTCATACCTTTCATTTAGCAACTTCACTATTTATTTTCGAAATATGTCCTTAACGTTTCTTTTCTTGACCATCGTTGTTACAACCATTACTTAAATTTCTTTGGTTGTCATGTTAACTTTATCTCTTCATGTGGTAATGTGAAATATGGTGACTTACGTGAATGAACAAGTAAATGCTAGTTCCTACATCATTCATGATTAAATAAACCTATATCAAATAATGGGTCCCAAATAGAAGGAAAGTCCCAAACTGTTGTGTAAAACATCCTTAGTGGTGATTAATTACCGCTTAACTTTACTTCAGTTTATGCTGATGAAAATAATAAATCCATGAAAGTTCTTGAACAAAGGCATAGTTGATTAAAGAAGCAAGACCATGTATTATAGATGATACTAAGGAACAGTTGTGTTCTAATGATACAGTGAATACATCTAAAAAGTTCTGAATACCAATAACCTTCAAATATTAGCTTTAAAATAATTAGTTATAAATTTTTGGATGAGATTGATGTATGGTGGGGATATTAGAAAAGTTGGAAACTAGAATCAAACCTTATTTAAACAATCAGTGAAAACCAGGAAACATTAGACAGTAGTTTCATTATAAAACGGGACTCCATATGTGCACATTCCTGACCCCAACGACTATTAGACCAGAGGCATTTAGTACTTGCTAAGACCACTTGACTTTCAGACCAATGAACCGTCATTCAATAGTTCACATGTTTAACTTCAATCGATACGCTATATTGTGCAACTACCTTCTAATATTGTTTATGGATAACCGTCATGCACCCGATGTCAATTTCTTAGAGGACTCACGTTGGGACGAAGTAGATATCTGGTAGTTCCTGGTTTCCGGTGGCTGTTTAGCAAAGATCAGTTGGTGGTGAGAACAATAAAATTCAACAATCTCCATAAATCACTTACTTTACTCAGTTCTGCCCCCCCAATGCTCTGGTACGGCCGAGAGTGGGGAGGGCACACCCTCCCTCTCGAAATGCTCTCACACGGTCACGCGTATACAGCCTCTGCCAGGGAAGTCCTACTCACTGTCTTATCGAGGCGGGGGCGTTGTTTACAAAGTTGAAAGGACACAGTGAGTCCACATAGGGGAGTTGGAAAACCCTGATTCCAAACCAATGGTGCACATGGGCTCCAGTATCCTGAAGGAACAAATGACGTAAGAACCAATTGTTGGTCAACGGCCACCATGGGATTGCATCTCCTCACGATGCTCCTATGCTTTGTGGATCAGACATCTAGGTCGAAGGCTCGGGGTGTGGCCCTCTAAGAGAACCACCTGCTTCGGTTAGGGCACCCGGGCAGTATCACAGCCCACACACAAATAAAATGAAATGACAATAATAACAACTCAGTTCAGTCAGTCATTCAAAAACGTAGAACTTCGTACGTACGTATATCAGTACGAGTTGCCACACCACATTATCACAGAGATACAATTGTCGATTCAAATACCATAGTGATAAAGGTGGTAAGATTATAATCAGTAATCGGAAACATTAGGGTTTGAAGATACTGTTCAAAAAGTGTAATCCAGTGAAATCAATTTGGGAAGAGAAAAAAAAGAAAGGGACATGAAGAATTCAGAAGATTAGAATTTGGGAGAACACAAAAAGTGGATGTACCTGCGCCATTACAAACGATTTTGAGCTATATCATTCAAGGTCTCTAACCATCGGTTGCTATTGTCTCGCGGATCCCAATCAGGTAGTCAACACCTACCAACATGGCTCAATCCACTTGTCAGTGACTTCATGGATTTATGCCATGTTTTGGTTTGTCTACCCCTAGCTTTCTTCCAATCTACTCCTACTCCATAAAACATCGCATACTTACTATACTAGAATAAAATTATCGTTTATCGACATCTAATTTTAGCTAATCATACATCAGATAATATCATTATTGAGTTAATTATGTTAAAGGTAAGAATCTGTAAAATTAATAATCTAAATAAAATATGGAAATAAAATCAACCCCATGATTATGTACTTACAGAATTAGTTTTTCGTAAATAATCACATATTATTTTAGCTGATTGAATAGTTGATTCATGTGGAAATATTGTAATTAAGGCAGATTTATTAAATTGTTTTTCTATTATTTGATTAATAGATTGAGATAATGTAATATTTGATAATTTATTGCCAATTGTAAAAGGAACAACAGAGTTATCAGTTGAAAAAGATAATGGAATTGACATTAACGGTTGCAAAAGAGACATGGAATCATCATCTCCTATGAAAATATAAAATAATCGGAAAAAATACCCCCTTAAAATTAGTTGTTCAATAACTGGAAACATAATCGTTAAGTATATTAATTAATTTAATAAAAACTATTTAAATCGAGTTTTAGAAAGTATCAATATCCATAGTGACTAAATTAGAATTCTTATCAGAAAGGGGTTTTTTATGAATATCATAGTAATTTAGTAGTTGAGTTCATGAGTCAGTTGAAGTTATACCACCATAGAAAACAAGGGACTCCTCAGCATCTCTCATCCATGACTCCGCCTCACAGGATTCGAATCCAGGACTTATCAGTCGTGCGCGCGAACGCTTAACACCTAAATCACTGAGCCGCCATCCAACGGTGTTAATGTCTAACTACAACTAATCCACGAAATTGAGCCACCGTTCACTGTTGTGTTCAGTGAGTTACTGTTCCACAACAGACCCGGTTAAACTTCACTGGTCACTGCTTCTCACTCCAGAAAATAGCTCTTGAAGCCAGTCACTAATGAGCATATGATGATTATTATCAGAAAGGGTTGTTTTGTAGATATTATAGTAAATTAATAGCTGAGTTCATGAATCAATTGATGGATCCCAAATAAAAGGAAAGTCCCGAATTGTTATATGAAACATTCTTAGTGGTGATCAATTAGTGATTAACTGACTAATAAAAAGACACTTTTATGAATGAAAATATTTGTCCAAAGTATTCATTATTCCATACATTAATTTTCAAAGAAATAAAAACAACGATTTAAACGTAATAAAATTAATTCATTGTCACTAACTGATTACAATAACTTGTAGTGTCTTCATATCTAATTTTCAAAATAATATTTATCATTAGAATGGAGTTTTTGTGGATATTATATGGGTTTTTGTCTGTCTGCCGATAACTTTTGACGTTGGATAGCATAGGTGCAAACGTGGAAAACTAACATTAAGGTATACAAGTTTCATGGTCTAAATATACACCGAAAAATGACAAGTCCATCTAACTCCATACTTGGAAGCTAATCGTTTAATGTCACAAAATTACTGCTGGTAAGCTCGTGTTGTTTATATTTTTCAAAATATTCAAAACTAGAAAAAGTGAGTTATCTTTTACCCTTCTCTTGATATTTATTGCTCAACTGACCTAATAATCTTATATTTCATGCTAAATAACCCTTAGAAGAGGTTGAATACAAAGCTATTGCAAAGCTATAAATCATAAACATCAGGATATTGAGTAAAAACATTTTGATATTTAGTATGTGCACTAACTTTCAAAAAATTAGCGTACTGATGGTATACATGGATAATGTCGTATTTAATTACAAACTACTAACATATAAAACAGTAATATATGTAATATATGTTATGAGCTGAATTAGGCAATGAAGATTAAAATTATCAGGACCTTAAATAGAAAGCATACATATTCTAAGATCACACATAAATTCATTTTATTTCCAACAATCTGAGTGAACTTATTATTACATGGGAAGAGAACACTATTTCTACTAACATGGTTTTAAATTATGGCACTTATCCAATAATGATTTATAATTATTTCAGAAAAATATCATGCTAAAGGACTGAATCTAATTAATTCAAGACAGTATCCATTCAGTTTTACGCGTCAGTTTTTAGGTTGTCTCGTATCTACGTTGGAAATTTTTTAACTGTTGCCATTACTTTTATAATTGCAACTAACTTTAAGGGTAATTAATTTATGCATACTGATATGGTTATAGATTAGTGTTCAGTTTTGTCATTTTTTTCTGGTAATTTTATGAACTATAAATGAAGTAGTTAAGCGATTCAATCATTTTTCCATTGATGTCACAGGGTATTGTAGATACTGTTGGATTTCATGGTTTACGTCACAATTTGAACTTATTTGGACGACCAATGAAAACCAGGAGAAACTGGATGGTTATTTCCTTCACATATGGGGCTCTTCAGCAGCAAGCACTCACAACTCTGCCGGACATCAAGTCATAAAACATACAGTCCTGTCGGTTGGCGCCTAAAATTTACATCAATGAGTTGGCATCCAATATTTTACAGTCTTAACTTTAATTAATTCACCCTATTGTTTGACCTTAATTCATCGTCACCAATAATATATGTTCCACGCCAAACCCTTGAACCATTAGACGCCAGCCCGGTGGTCTCAAGATAATTCGCTCATCGCGAATTCTGAAATTCCTAAGTTTGACTTTTTTTTGGGTCACTTAGCTGCGTTACTGATGAGTTCCACACAATACCGAAACAACTGCTTTTTGGTTTACAGTGATTGTCTAGGAATTTTTATTGAGTTATACCTATTTCGTCTAGATCTACCAAACTGGAGGTCAAAGATATTACGGGTTTTTGGATATATGTCTGTCTGCCGAAGTCTTTTTTGTACATTTATGGGATTTTCTGTAAGATAAACAGTTTCATACAAATGCAACACGGAACACTGAGGTGGAACAATGCTTTACATGTGGTATTAAATAATTTACTAATTTTAAAAAGAATGTATGTTACCATTTTCAAGTTTACTATTTTCACCTTCATGTTCTAATGCCTTCTGTGGTGTTAAAATATGGTTATCTATTGAATCAGTCGTTTTTAGTAGTGAAATATGAACAGCATCAGTATTTTCATCCGGGGTGAAATCATAGATATCATACCAATTGCAATTAAATATACTGAGACCTGATGCAGCGAAATGATCTAAAATTTATAGAAAAACAGAAAAAATTTCAAAGAGTTACCAAGCCCGTGGGCAAGACATATTTCATTTCTAGAATATTAGGTTAGTTCCTATGGTCTATTTTATGTACTCGACGCCTTTATAACCGACAACTTTGTAATTCCTTTATCCGGTGAGTTTAAAATATGCGGACAATATTTAAGAGTTTAGTAGTAGTTTATTAGAATTTTTTCTATTGTTATATATCCCTATGAATTTGGCGTTCTTTATGAGTTTTCACACCTCAAAAGCTTTAAAAAACTGTTAGGAGCAGTCACCTAGTCATGACAAAGTCTGTCAGCAAAGCCTTTTAAAGCCTAAAATCTATTTAATGTAAAGCGCTTCAGTGTAAATTAACATTTAAATAGTACAATAACGTTTGGATGAAAATACAGGTAATTCTAGGTGTCATGTTCACTACTTCAATGATTCAAATCTCCAGTTACATATAACTTTCCTGAAGTGATGCCAGACACTTACAAGATATGATAGCACAATTTTATGAATATTAGATTTCCTACTGGAATGTAAAACCCGATAGAATATCATTATTTCATGTTCAAGGTATAAGTTGTATGGTCTTTGTTATATTCTAACAAAGAATAAATAAGTGGTAACTGCTAGAAATTATTTATGGACAATTAATACACCTATCCTTATTGTCTAACTATTACGTAACTGTATAATGTGTACATTTATGTTTCTTTTATTATAAGCTTCAATTTGATCTATTGACGATTATTATACGATTTACTATTTTAAGTTATTCGCAATTTATTAGTTACAGTCTCTCACAATCATAGCCACTTTGGGCCTGATCTCGTATAACTGTTATTTTCTATTTTCTAGTGTGATGTGATCTGATTTGTCTCTACATAAGCTGGGCGTGTCTGAGATACATGATTCATGTAGCAGAGGATGAGATTGTGTCCTGAACTCAGACGGGCAGAGCTAGGCGAGAATCACAAATAAGGAATCAGAGCTGATTCTAGGCTGCTCGCATTGGCTAATGCATCAGTGGTTTGGCAGTGCCAAAGTCATATAAGTTGGTGTTTCAATTGGCAATCTTATCATGTAATAATTAACAGGCCATAAAGACATGACAGTTTTAAGATTTAGATACTAGAATTAGTAAAACACTTTGCTGATTCCTAAAATATGAAAAACAAGACTTTCTTGATCGGTCCTTTCGTCCAGAAAGGAGTATTTAAACTCACATTCATATCTTACATTACTTTTTGATCAGTGATACGATGTAGTTGATGCGACGAGATGAGAAGGTGAAATCACATTTCCAACTCAGAGTGATTCTTGTTCAACATTACTTTCGTCCTTCATTCTATACGATGATCATTCAGAGTAATACCTGTCTTGTATTCCAGTGTGACATTTTGTTTGTCGTAATATCAACTCATTCGAGTGTGAAGTTATATCAAAATACAATACACTTGTATAAAATTATATAAATGTATGAGATTTTATTCTAATTAATCATCATAAGGAATGTTCAATTAATATATATTAGGCGTATTTTTGACCAGAGTTGTTGTGTTTTGGGTTTAATAAATTTTCACTTGTATCAGCCTTAGAGTTTCTATTTTGCGTCGTGAGAATTACAGTGGTTCCTTGTTCTCTAAAGTATAGGGATAGGAGATGCAGATGAAACAGCAGTTGTAATATCTTTTCAAAACCAGTTGTCATACAGAGTCTTATAATAACCATCACTAAAATTCTGAAAATATTTGACATGTTATCTGGACTCTAGGGTTTAATTTTCGATAAAAGTTTAAACTTGCATGATTACCCAAAACTTTTGATTCTGGCACACCTTCATTGTGTTGTGAAATTTTCAAAAAAATCCAAAAAAATTAAAGCTAACTTACTAAGCCACGTAGATTCACATGAAGCTGTCATAAAGAATCAGGGGTTTGGTTATGAAAGGTCACATAATCTCAAAAAAGTTTAAAAGATACTGTTATTTATAAGTCGGTTTAAAAGATTACTGGTCTATAATCGGGTGGACGCAAGACGAACTCTTTTAGAAGTGGTCTATAAGCAGTGTTTTCACTTAAAACGTATGTACACTCATTAACAAAAGGTTTCTGGTCCGACGTCGTGAATTGGTAAAACGAATTCTTAGGTATTACATTGGGCCCGATAACAGACATTTTTATTCACAATACGAAAATACTGTTTGGAAGTAGCATAATGTATAAAATAATTTTTAAAAGTCCCCAATGGGTGCTCATGAGAGAACGTTACACAGTATCAGTTCATACCTTCTAAACCTGGATAGCTACACTGATAGGGACCAAAAGTGAAATTTGTGCAGGATTCAATGATAGGTTCTGTTGAACAAGCCACGAAAACAAGTGTATCATGACAATCCCTCGACCGAAATTGTTGACATGCAGTCGCTATAATACACCTTTGGCAATCTCTTATGAAAAAACTGAACGGTTAATAAACATAGGTCTACCAGGTCTTTACAGGCCCTGTCACAATAGTACAATCTGAACAGTCATCAATAGTGATTGTCATTGAGTGATCTAAGAGGTAAATGTAAGAATTCTGTAAACCAATTTAAAGAGTGTGATCAACCCACCTTACAATTCTGGATTAAAAATTGCTGACCGTTTATTTCCCCTGAAACTCTGCCATATATACCACCGCACTTGTCAGTGATTATAAAATCTTTAGGGTCTAGTTCAGATCTACCACTGATCATAGATTAAGTTTAGATATAATTAAAAATCATGATAGCACCTGGAGTATGCGTCTAATTTTTCGTTCTTGGATAGAAGCTTTGAACTATTTTCTGATCTTGAGTGATAAGATTTACAACAAAAACATAAAATATTCATGTGATTTTGAAGGAGCGACAAATATTCTCATATAAGCAACCTAAATATTTAGCTCATTAAAAGTAAAGAGTTCATTCAAGAACTCATGTTAAATAAAAGAACTAGACATTTCCACTTACGACTAAGTGGAAAATTTGTTCAACTATTAGGATATGTTGTGATGTCTTTATCTCTGAAGACTGAAGAAAACTGAGGGCTGATCTTCCGTGTAAAACTGTAAAGTAGATCAATGAATGAGCATTGATATGACCCTCACACTATTACAGGGTTATTTGAACTGGTTAAGACCTAACCTAAATTATATGATTGACAAACATGTTGTTTCTGCTCTATTATTAAGTTATTATTTATTTCTTGGTAATTGGTCATTAACTCCCATTCATTTGTAATTTGTAAATGTGAGTGTATATCGTCATATGCACGTTCGCCTACCTACTTATTCACTGATCACTTGAAATTTGTGTTTGTGTATTATCCATAAGGTAGTTTCTTTATTTATATACACATTCGCCCATTAATTCGTGAATTTGCTTGTTCCATTTGAAGTGGACAGGATGGTTTTTTGTGCTGGTTTAAAATGCATCAATCTAAAAAAGGTCTTTTGATTCCTGATTTTCTATACGCTTAGAAGTTACTAACGTATATGTATCAGAGTTCAAAGGTCTAAAAATCTTGAAAAATAATCATAATTCTCTGTATTACATTTTATCACTGGAGCGAACGATTACATCATAAATTTTAGATGATATTGAGTCCTTAAGCTGTGTTGTAGTGCATGGTATTTGTGTTAACAGATATAAATAATAAGCAGTGCCAATCGGAAGTGGAGTATTTGGCATCAGAAGATTGAGATAAAGATAACAGAAAGGAAATCTATGGGTAATCGAAATAACAACAGAAGGAAACTCAAAAAGAGAGGGATACGCAGGATGCATTTATGACTATACAACATTCGCCATTTCTCCAGAATGTCCTGTTCATTTGAAAAACCCAAGGCTCTTCGTGTACTATCAGAGGGGCACAGTTACTTGTAGGCATTACGGTTTTTCTGTGGAACAAAGTGGACGCGTTTCAGAGCTCTTTAATGCCTATCGTTATTCCCCTCATGATTTAATGAATGAGCACCATAATATGCTTCATAGCAGTTGCCTACTGGATTCTGCCTACTTCTTCAAGAGCTGGCCAACGATGTCTAGTGAGTATTTAAGTTTTGGTCACAAATAATTCTAGATGATCCTAATAGACATTCGTTCATTGTTACTTTATTTTACCTCATGGACTATAGCATACAGTCATAAAATCGCTTACTGCAATTACTAACCCATTTATCGTATATTCAGCTTAGAGCTAGACAGATGTTACTTCCGACTTTATTAAACATCATTAACTTATGGTTTATGAATGGATAGACTGGGTTAAGCATATGTATATTGGAGATATCTCGAGTATTCTCCGGTGTCATGACAAATATTGCTTTTTGTCTAGGGTGATGGTTAATTCTGTAGCTCGAGTCCTGAGTACTCGGACAACTCTTCATCCAAACAAACCAGAATTTTCTTGAAACTAGATGAGTCTAATGCGTTTCATTTATCTCAACTACTGACTGCTATCGCATGGTCGCTCTGGGTCCGGAAAATGCTAGAGCATCTGGAAAACGAATAATTAACCGACTTATAAGGTGTTGTGTTGGGAAGATTAAAATTATTGGGTGCTCCCTCACAGATTAATAGATCTTTAACAATTGATTTTTTATTCCTAAGAGCACTAATACTACTTGTAGTAGAAGTTTGTGAGTAAACTACTCATATGTTGATACAGTTACAGTTTTGTTTGAGTTTGTACAGTGTCCCAGTTAAATCAGCATATCGCGTCGCTGAAGTTGATATTCTCTAAAAGCTAGAAATAAAAAAGAATTAGTCCACAAAAATAACTTTAAGTAAGGTCTTTTCAAACAGAATACCGGTTTCAAGCTCGGATAAAGGAGAAAGGTTGGATCTGCGCTTGTTAGCCTCATCTCATAAAAATAACTTTGCTAAAAACGCTAACCAGAAAACAATTACTTAGACAACTAGAGCTCTACTCTGTTATTTGAAGGATTTTCATGTAGAAGAGCAGCGGCATGTCGTAGTGGAAGCCAAGCTACCTTGGAAGTCTCAATGTAGATTTTCCATATATCAAAACAACCCAACAAATATAGGTATATGAAATGTTTGTATATTATAGGAGATTAAGAAAACCACACAAATAACCGCAGAAATGATAAGATACAACCTGACCGTGATTGGAATAAGTGAAACTCATTGAACACAATTCGAATGAAGAAAAGTAAATTTATGAAATGTAAAACCATATTCTGTTCAAGAAAAATAAAATTCCCCAACAAACAAGAGCTTACACTAGTGCTATGGGAAGGAAAATAAAATATGCCGTTAGGAAAAGAGTCTCATGAATCCAGTGTTATCAAAGCATACTTTACATCAAATAAGAAAGAGGCTACAATGAATATCATCCACTGCTACATACCCACCAGCGATAGCAGTAGAGATGATAAGGATCAGTTTTATAAGAGACTGCAATTCACCATCGAGAAATGTTCAGGAAATGAAATGACCATCCTGATAGGATGACCAAATGCCAATATCGGAATGAACAACATTGGTTATGAACGCACTACGTGTTGATGTAAACTTGGATAAAGGAACGAAAGCGGTGAGAGATTTGAAAATCTACATGGGTTCAGCAACATGTTTAGAGGTAAATTCATTTTCTCCTGTAAATTCATACACAAAGCTAAATAGGTCCCATCGAATTACATTACACAGAACTCTATTAACTCTTCTTACATTGATGAGGCGTTTAGAAGGTCCCTGAAGAAGTAGGAATAACGAAAGGAACTGGTGTAACTTCAGATCACCATATGGTGGTGACTGAGCTAAAATGGAAGCTGAAGAAGCAGTGGACAAGCAGAAAGACTGCATTATAAACATTTAGCACAATGTTCCATCGACAGTCTAACAAACTGAACAAACTCGATATTGATCTTAACAACAGTTTCCATGCCTAATAAAATCTACTCATAGAAGAAGAGTAAATCACTATGGATAACAAGTTGGAAGAGAATAAATCAGAAGTGACTCCAACGTATTACGAGGTGCCGTGTCACATGGAGCCCAACCAGAATGAAGGATGGATTTCTGTAGATCACCTGTGTTTGAGTTAATAAATAGAGAATAGGAAGACAGTTTCGAGTAACAGTGGAATAAGATCAGAGTAGAGAAATTCCAAGTACAGGTTGAACACCCAGAAGTAAATGAGTGAGTGAAGAAAAGTATTAGAGTTAACAAACGGAAATATGTAAAATATCTGACAACTGTATTTGTGCAATTTGGAACTGGAAGAAGTGTGCACGAACCGTGTGTTCTAAACAACAATCTCTCAGGAAAGTCCAGAAGACCAGGCAACTCGTTATGATAACTTGTGAGGAGAGACAATCAGTAATGTGGGATATGTAGGAGTGCAACGGGTGTGTAGAACACTTTGACGAATTGCTGAATATGATGGGCATCGAGACAACACACACATATGCTTCTACAAATATCACCCTATCAACAAGTGACGAAGACAGAATAACCAAAAGTGAAACGAATATTAGGAAAGCATAAGTAAGACCAGACAACATACCAACTGAAGCATTGAAGTCGGACACAGACGTATATGCAGAAATTGACCACACTCTATTTAGAAAGAGTTGGCGGCAATAACAGGTGTCGAAACACTAGAAAAAAGATACTTTAGGTGGGGTTTTGTTCTCCGAGCTAGATGATTTAGTCACGGATCATACTTTAGTCTTCTGAACAACATTTCACTTCCATATGAAGTTTGTGCTGGTGATTTTTAGAAGAACAATGAAAGCACTACTACCCAACTATCCAGTTTAGAGAACAAATTTTCACCTAAATTAACCATCTGAGCTACAAATCTTCTCCTTTGGAAAGTTACTTTATCAGAATACCGAAGGAGAATTCAGCAAGTGTGGGAAATAGAGAGACACTACACTACTGTCAAGATGTTAAATTTCTAAATGGTGTTGTTGAATCGTATGATAGATTCAGTAGTTTAACCCTAGAACAACAAGCTAAATTTAGTGAGGATTGGTCGACTGACCAAATCATGACACTGAAGATCATTGTTGAATAACCATCAATTGAAGCACGCTGATTACTATATGTGAACATTGTTGACTATAAGAAAGTGTTTGTTAGGGTGGATGGTAGGAGTTTGTGGACTGTTGTTCGATATGATAGAGTGTTTGAGATTGTCGTCACCATGATACGGGATTCTCACAATGGATAACAGTGAGAATTCATGCAGCTCACAAATCCATTCGAAGTGAAGATCGGTGTGAGACAAGACTGTCTACTGCCAACTTTCGTCTTTGTTCTGATCGTCGGATGGATTGTGAAGATCTCGACATCTGAGTAGAAGCACACAAAACATTGGACAGATTGGATGTAAGTGGATGTTTGCCATTTTGCAAATGACTCGGCATTCATATCACATACACAGAAACAAATGTATTTGGAGAGAGTTAGTGTAGCAGTGACTTCCATATCAGTATGCATGGACATTCATAAGAGAAGAGGTGAGATGCTGAAATACAATACAGTGAGTGCTAAGTGAATTGTTTTTGATGGTCATGCTGTGGAAGAGATATGATCATTTACGTGATTTGTCAGTATCACTGATAAACAAGATGGATTTGATATAGTTGTGAGTAGGTGAACTGTTAAGGCAGAAGTAAAATTGGCACAAGTGAAGAATATCTGAACATCGAACCAACTGTCACACAACACATATGTCTGAAATTTCAATACAAATCTCAAGATAGTTATATTATACTGGGCTTGAACTTGAAGAACTATTACGACCATTGTCAAATTGGTACATGTATTCATAAACATTTGTCTACTGAAGATACTCCAGATGCATTTGTTAGATGCCATCACGAATAATCGACTTTCAACCGTACAAATATTTTACAAATAGAAAATAAATAATTTAAAATACTTTAAGTGTACAATCATTATGACAAAGAAGCATATACAAAGTGAAATCTTATTACATTTAGCATTTAGAATAAACTACTTATAAGTCTTGAAATGGAGATTGGGACTGTGGTTGACTTTTTTGAAATTTCGATAGAACAAGGAAAAGACGTAGCTGATCTGAAAAATGTGATGTATTTGCGCTATACATTTCGTGTTCTAGTTCTAGCCAGTACTAGTATTTAGTAGTCATTATCGATGTAACTTTATTATTCACCTAGCTATGTACGTATGGATCTAGCTATATAGCACTGGAGAGAAATAACAGTGAAGTGGATTTATAAAAGATTACCACTCTTTTAGACCCCCTAACTGAATTAGACTATGTTGTAATTTGGTCTGAGCTTGACTTAGGCTATGAGTTAATAAATTCGTCTTTCTTGATGTGTAAATACAAGCATATCTTTTTTAATGAAATCGTAACTGGCTAAAAACCTGATTCATTTTTCATTCAACTGTAAATAATATCAAAGATATATAACTGACTGTAACGTTGGTCTACCAGGAGGTTAGAATAAATATTGAAATGTTTGACTGGTAGATTTTTTCTGCCAGTTAACTTGTCATAAAAAAGCCTCACTTAGTCAAGCATTTTAGTGTCATGAACAACAATGCATTTAATCTGATGTTGTTAGTATAGTCTTTTGATATTTACTTAAAAAATCTTTAAAAAAGAGATAGAAACTTAGTTTTATTTCAGTAAATTATAACTTCTTTCTGATTTGAAATATTCACACCAAAATAACTGTGAACTTCTTGTACAATACGTTAATTGGTTAGTGCAGGTAAGCATATCAATATAGGACAACGTTTATTTATTCATTTATAAAATCATACTCTCTTTTATTCTTCATTGTTATTTCTAATGTTTCTTTATCTTCATTCCAAGCTGCTTTACTTGAATCTGGTTCAACAGGATTTGGTAGATATAATACAAGCTTACTAAAAAAAGATAAAATAATATTTTATTATAAAAAACGTTTTATTGTCTTGGATAGTCAGATAAGGAAAAATAAGTTTCGAAAGATCATGCCCTGGCACGACCGAGAGTGAGGGGAGTCAACACTCCCTCCCAAAATGATCTCACATGGCCACGTGCATTTAACCACCGCCAGGGAAGTCCTGCTCACTGCCTTCTCACGGCGGGGGTGTTGTTTACGAAATTGAGAGGACAAAAAGCTTTAACCGGCTAGGTGAGTATGGAAGATCTACCTGGGGGAGTTAAAAAACTCTGATTCCAAACCATTGGTTCACATGGGATTCAGGATCCTGAGAGAATAAATGGCGTATGAGCCAATCTTTGGTCACCAACAACCATCGGACTGCATCTCCTAAAGTTGCTCCACTGCCTTGTGGATTAGACCTTTAGGTCAAAGATTCGGGGTGTGGCTCCCTATGAAAACCACTTGTTTCAGTTTGGACACCCGGGCACTATCCTAGCCCTTACACAAATCGTATGATTTATGGAGCATATATATTTGGTGCCTTCTTGTGCCTATGTTTATGTGTTTAAATAATAATAACAATACTTTATGAAGTTAAAATAGGATTTGGTCTAAAATCTTGATGTTAATTGCTTGTTCTTGTGAAGATAGTTAACAATAACCTATTTTGTAAGCAATTTTTGTTATTGTTCATAGTTTCACATAACTTGCACAATTACAATTATTGACTATAAAGTGGTTGTTTAAAATTTGATCTTAAACTTCTATTAACGTTTTCTTCTCTGTTCGTATGATACACAGACGTCTGCTCATAGATACACTGTTGTGCACACACTTTTCTTTCTCACCTATAACAGATGTTTACAGGACACACAGATATTTCCATTACGTAATTATCCCGGAAACATATTATCTTGGATTATATCTATCATATTTGAAATTATTGACTACTTCTTATGACTGTGGACTACGAGATCAAAACTCGAACACGCTCCCTACTTATAATTTAAGCAACCTCCCACACTTTTTCTTTGTGAGCATTTATATTTGTGTATATTATCAATTGTCTTTATAATTTTCTCAATAACTATTATTATTTTGGTATTGATATATTTGATCCGCCAAGATTATCTGGTGAGTCAGACATGAGGATGTCAGCGGAACTATATTAATTTCTGCTTAAGTGTCTACTAAAAATTCCGTACCAGAAATATTAAACCTGACATATGGGAGACGACTGGCCGGTTGGCCAAAAGCAGTCACCGCCATTACAGTCTGTCTGGCACGTTTCCCCGTTTGTCATAGCTACACGACGTTAATTTGCACAGTCTTGTGCATCACCGTGCCTTGGTGCCGTACTTGTGGTGATGCCAATAGACTCCTGGGATTGGTTTAGGTGACCTAGAGTATTGTCTGGGAAATGGCATTTTCCTAGAAGATGATCTAGCACGTCTCATATGTATAGTGTACAAAGTTGCTTGTAGTGCTTCAAGTTTATTAGACAAGTCAAAGAAATGCTGTTGAAGTATTGCCATTTCATTGGTCTTTGCCTCTTCAGTAGCTTGTATTGTGTTCACACTAAGGTAATCTGTGGCATTAACCGTGGTTATTGTGAGTTGAGGTATACGAGGTAAGTCAGAGGAAACTTTTATAGAACTACAACTCAATGTTCATATTATCATTAGGTGCATGCATTATACGAACATGCCGAAAAAATGTTTATATAGATAAAGAATACATTTATCTATGGGTATAGTATCATAGCATAACAAACAAAATTAACGTAATGGCTCACTAGATGATCTTGCCGGATCAAATATCTCATTATCAAAATAATGATAGTTCTTGAGAAAATTATGAAAACAAATATAAATACTCACAAAAAATAGTGTGGGACGTTACTTAAATTATCAGCAGGAAGCGTGTTCGAGTTTTAGTCTCTTAATTCACAATTATAAGAAGTACTTAATAATTCCAAATATGATAGATATAATCCAAGATAATGTGTACTAGGAAACTAATAAATATGATCAGAATTAAATGAAATATTCAAATATTTCAGTCTTCTTGTAACAGCTCGATTAAAAACTTATCAGTTACCCACTATTTGAATTCGTCTCAACTGATGTTACCGACTGAATTAAGTTCCATTTGATAGAAATGATGCAATATATTAACCGCACAAACTTCTATGTATAAACTTATACAAGGGATTAAAAGAGTAAAAGCTCACGTTATTATGGGTGTGAACTTAATACAACTATTAAGGATGAAACGAAGATAACTAGAAATCTTATCTGTAATCAGCAATGTAAGATAAATCTCACTGTTTTGTAAAAAAACAACCTGATGGACAATTCCACTGACCAAATACTATTTACATAACTTTGAGATAAGAAATCCCTATCCTGAGTACGCACTGCTATGGAGTTCCAACTAGAACAAAACAGCTATACAGTGCTTCCTGATTTTCAAATATTGTTTAACTTAGGTTGGTTCGTGATTTTACTAACAAATGGTTGAAATGAACGTTACCAACTGGAAACAACAGCATATTATTGTTATAACGATTTTAAGAAACAGTTGGTCAGTTAGCTAGTAAAACTAGTTATACAAGTATAAGAATCGAACATAAAAAATTAGCGAAATTATACAAGAGGAGTGGGTCATTCGGATTCACACTTTGCATATCCTAGAAGACAGAGGAAATTATATCAACAAACCTAACCTGTTCGTGCACCAGAGGTTTGTGAAGGCTTTACTCTGGATGTCTGCTTAGTCAAACAGCATTTTTCTTAGAAAAACCCTAATTTGCTTATTCTTATACTGATGATGTTATTTTTACCAGCGTACAGAATAATTACTTATTCAATTCGTCTTACTACAAACTCATTATTTGAATAAATAATGGTAAATTTAGTATATTGAACGGCCGTCCAGTGCTTCCAGGTTTTTCATGGTGGTCTAGCTTTAATTGACTCATGAATTCAACTATTAAATTACTACAATCTCCATAATCCCCCATTCCGATATTGAATATGTATTATTTCTGTTACTTAGTATCCAAGAGATAAAAAGCACGTCATTCAACTTGGTAAAAAAACGAACAAAGTAAATAATTATCACAAAGAAAAGAACAATAATTTAGTGTTGCGTTAATTAATGTAGCATAGTATATGATAATATGTGAATTTAAATTAAAGTATCAAATCCATATTTAACAAAATATTTTACTTAAGGACTTACTACTTAGGTGCTCTCAGATCAAGAAATGTTTCTTTGACGTCTAGAATAATGTCAGACAATCGTGTATCTGGAAGTATTACTTTGACCTATGGGATGAAAAAGAATCAAGATTTGAATGTAAATACATAGTATTGGGTTAGTTGAAAATAAAAATGCATCTTAAATGATTTATTAACTATGATTATCAAGATCATAGTAACAAAAAATATATATAAGATTTAGATTCCTCTTCCACTCTATATGATGAAAATAGAGGAAAACAATGTCAAAGATGTAGAGGATGAATGACATCCATATAATGAGATGCAACAGCTACAACAAATACCAAAGTGGTCGTTTGTTTCACCTTCATCTGTGCAGAAATCGGTTAACTTTTAAATATCATTATATATTTTAGCTTATAGAAATACGTATATCCAAATGCACACATTGATTTGAATTCGAAAATGGCAAAATATTATAGACAACACGAACAATACAATAGAGCTTTTATAACCCGAAAATTCAGGTCATTGAGATATGAAGTCAACCGAATTGTGGGTGGACTTAGTGATAGCATAGTTTCTGGTGACGGTCTGTGTAGCACTTCCCTCTTTCGTGACCAGGGTACAAAAACACCTCTCTCGAATCTATCCTTTTCAGTTCAACTTGGGTCCAATCAGTTTCATTTATTCCGAGCACCTCTAAGTTGTATCTCCTCATTTCTGCAGCTATTTGATTGGTCCTCCAAGTCTCCCACACTGTCCGAACATTCCATGTACCTAAGCTAATTATTGCTCTGGTTGTTTGAGGGGCATCGGCCTAGTGACTTCCGAAGAATCTCGGCTTTCACCATAAGATGTCATAACTCTTACTTCAATTTCCAGGGCACAGTTTAAATGGTTTGAATTTGTTTATCCCGGTTAGAATTTTCTTAGGAAGGTTTTTTCCTACAAGATGGGGTTGCTGACCATATGCCCAACCCTTCCCCTTTACCCAGTCTTGGGACCCGCAGTAACCGTAGAAGAGCCACAGGCGGAGTTTTAGAGAATATAACATACTCAAAATCACTCAGTAAGGCTAAGAATACCAGAAGGTTCGCTATGAAAGTAAGTAAACAAATTTTGCAAGAGATCTCACTAAATTGAAACTAAAAAAATATGAAAAGATGGATCAGAAGAATCTGGCCTTATTGTAATGTAGAATATAACGTTGTTATTCCTGGGGGATATCAGTACATCTACACACCATCTTTTTCCTATTCTCACTTAATACCAACTATTAACTTCGACTAGACTTGTAGGTCACAGAAAATTCCTGATGCATGCGGTGAGTGAAGAGTAATGGTAAATGATGAACTGTTTTACATCCTTCGATCTTCCTTAACATTGGTAACAAAAAGAAATGTCTGAGCAAATCAATTTCGTTACTTGCACTTCATACTTTGCAAGTGAAATATCGTTGCTTAATTCTTTATATATTTCTGGACAAACCAATCAGTTTTCATAACTGGTTTTACGGTCTATAATGACATAACAATGAACGATACCTGGCCAATACATGTTTGTGATGTAGCTATTCCTAGAGCTCTGAGTTAAATCAACTGTATTTTTTCCCTTGTGAACGCAGATCCACTCATTCTTTGTGTTGCTTTGACTCTTGGTTTTAGTATTCAGTACTTCTCAGTACAAGATTTTAGTCATTCTTTTACTATTTTTTCGCTACCACTGTAGTGAACAGAACCCAAGTAAGAACAATGGAACGTATGTACTACAGGACCTATTATTAAAATCTAACAATCAAATAGTAAATACGTAATTTGCAAAATGTCCATCAGTTGTCTCATAATGACTCAGACTTCATTGTTCTTGCATTTTCATACAAATTGCATCCTGTTTCCACTCTTTACTGTTCGATCCTCTTATCTCTCTGCTGCCAGACATTCTGTTCACAACTAACATCATCTACTACTTATGCCAATATAAGTAGCACACATCACACTACTATCAGATTGAATTTGATCCTGTTACATTTTTTGATTATACTGGCAAGAAATGTAATAATTCGGATGGAAATAATATTTATATAAGATTCTAAACGAATTCTATCTTTTTGATTCAGATCATCAATCGATTGATGTTAGACCACCATTAAATACCCGAAAGCACTGGACGGCCGTTTCGTCCTATTGTGGAACTCCTCAACAGTGCGTATCCACGAACCCGCTCTCGGAATTCGAGCCCAGAGCCTTCGGTCTCGCGCGCAAACGCCTAATCTGTAGATCATTGATCCGGCATCCAACGGTGTTAATGTCTAACATCAACCAATCCACGAAATTGCGTGACCATCTTCCATTGTATTGAAGTACATACCTGTCTATTTCCGACACGGATTAGCTCCTCTGGTCACGGCTTCTCTTTAGAACTCCGAGAATTCCCTCATGAAGCTAGTCATTGGTGAACATATGGTCATTATCAGTATAGGGTTATGTAGATTATTAACTTTTTGATTGAGATGATGAACCAATTTCTATTTTCCTATTTGTCGCTTAATTTTAAAATTGAAACATTTTCTTTAAATACAAATGAAGGCAGTTTCTTGATAAAAATATTTTACGCATAAATTATGAGAATTTTAATTTCAACTAAAAGTTTGATTCTGCTTACAATCATGTATTCACAACAAGCTGTCGTTGGATTTTTTCTCCCAAGTTGTAAATAGACATCTTCAGCTGTTACTGATTGCTGATACACTATTTCATATCTGTATATGAAATGAACAAACAAATAGAAAAGTGCTTTATATAAATATCAGTCAAAATTTAAACGAATAGTTTAACATAGATTAAACACCGAGTATATCGAGAGTATTATGGCCCTAAAAATGTGTATCTTCAGTAAATGAATTAAATTATTCTTAAAACATTAATTAATTTGATAAGAGATATTTTAGTCACACCGGTTATAATGATCCAAATGTATGTCTCTTTATAACTATTTAAATAATTAAGCGAAGATGGATAGTGGCTAGCAGTAGAAACCAGGACGCGCGTTTAGTCCTATTTGGGACTCGCCAGCTGGATGTACCTGCATCCCAGAGTTGATGTTCACTCCGGGACAACAAGAGACTTACCAATTGCAGTCCTAAATAACAGTTGGAAGATACAACTAAAATAAAATCAATTGTACTTAAATAATTGAACATACAATAACATTCATCTTATTTATTTTAATATGTTTGATATGTGGGGATAATTAACATAGACTTATTTGGTAATTAGTTATTTTTATTGTTCTCATTTTCTACCGGGGGATGGACTTTGTAGGCGCTGGCACCATGTCAAGCACATAAAGGTTATTTTAGCTTCTGAATAGACTAATTCATTCTCCTGAGGCTAAATTTTGACCTTGTTACTCATTCGCTTACTAAGTTGATTGCTTTTTATATGACCGTATGTGTGTTAATTGCTTGCTCTATTCATTACGTGTCTGTAATTTATTTTTGTCTGAATATAAATATTGAGTCACTCTATAAAATTGAGATGGTTCACTCACTTTCTCCACCACACGTCAATGTGTTTTCCTTCGATCTCTCTACTCCACTTCCTTTGCTTCGTTTCCCTGATTGTCTGTTCAGATCACTCGTATTTGACTTATTTTTATTCCGTTATTCTCACACGTGAAATAAGTTGATAAGAATATACGAGGATTGGAGGCATGTATATTTCTATAATAATCATTATACGACCTAACTGGAGTCAGATACAGAGCCACTAAAGATACCAGTTTAATGATTAACCGTTGAATAATAATCAATGTTATATTTTGTTGTTTTCGATAATGACTCAATATCAAGTTTATGTTTATATAGTGGTATACATAAATATCCAAGAGGCCAAGAATTCTTATCGTAATGATAGGCTGAAGATGTTACTCAAACAACTGTACTAACGTGCTGAATGGTACGTTCGGGCGAAGATTCTACAGATGAAATTCGTTTATTGGATATGCCATCAAATACTCAGTGAACATTTGAATTATAATAACTATTAGTAGTGATTCTTAAGATAGTTGATATTTTTTGTAAATTAGTAAAGTGAGAAAAGAAGACCGTAATCTAACATAAAATAGATAAGATTTTTACCTACTTGGGCTGAGGGCGTGGATCATATATATCTTCATGCTGTGTACCTTCTGGTATTTCATCAATATCCCATATATCATCAGGATTCTTTTGTTTCACATTAGGTTTTTCTTTCTTGACTGATAAATTGGATAAAGATATGATTGAAAAAGTGTGAATTGAGACAAACCTTCAGAACGACACTTGGGACCAATATCACTTGGTTTCATTTTAGACATTGGAGTTATTACCTAGCAAGGAAAGAAAATGTGTAGCATTTATTATCAATGTATATATTTTTAGAGGGAGAGAAAAGTATTTGAGATAGTGTTTGATACTCATGGAACATAACTTACTACTTATTGAACTAGTTGACAGTAGGATTAATGAAGTCAGTAGTGAAATTGTTACTAGGTGTTTTTTGGTCTACAAGTTACTTATTAGTATCTTGACGACTAATGTAATACACTTATCACTGGGTCGCGCGAATGACGCTTTGCCTAATAGTCAATAGTAGTGATGAGATTAGACAAAGCGTACCAGGTAAAATGGGTAGTCCAACTGACAAGGCTGTAAACCTTTGTTGGTCAAGACAATAGAGATATGTGTTACATTCCCCCAACTATCATTTAGCCTGGCATAAATCGCTGACTGGCAGAGGAGTAAGCTGGGAAAATACCATGATTAGGCCAAACAAAGATATATTGTTAGTCTATGAAGTCCTATATTGTTGGTCTAAGCCAATTCAGGAGGTGAAAAATTACTATTAAGAGTTTTAATTTATAATAGTGAAATGTGGGGGAGAGGTCGATCATAGTAAAGCATCCGTTCTATGGCCATTTTTAAATCATGAGTCTTACCGACCGCAAATTTTCGTTTTTTTATTCTCTTTATCCTGCATATCTGATGTTTAAATTTCGATCATAGCTGATAATATTTTCACTTCATTTACCACTCATTTAGTTAGGTCATTTTTTCAATGTGCTGATGTAAAGTATCAAAACTTGGGTCAATACAAAGTCATATTCGGTCGATTGATCAACGGATCCAGTCTCTTGCTGAATGGGACTGATGTACAGACTATTTCACTGTTTAAGTGACCAAAGGAGGACATGTACTTTAATATAGAGCTCATCAACAATGCATTTGACCTAAATGTCGAATCTATAATTCAGTGAGGCAGAGGCACACACTGTGTCTGGTGTATAAAGTAAGTTCATACACCATTAATTGGCTCAGGACATTGTAATTTATACCAATTACTGAGAGAAACATGGGCTTCAAAAGATTTCCACCGAAATCCTCTATATAGACCAACCTATTCAATGTCCTCAGAGTTTATTTTATCTCTTTTAATCTATGCACATACCCACGCCAAGTAAAAACAGTAAGTGGTATTTTCTCTGAAGGGACTATAAACGCGCGGTCGTATGATAGTAATTTCAAAGTGTGAAATTTCCTTTTAGTCAATACACTAGGGCGTTCGAAGGTGTGTGTAACCTAGCAACCGAGCACAAGTTACTTTACTCGGGGATTTGTGCTACATCTTCCGCGTAGGAACTTCTGAAACCAAAATGGGGCCGATTTCGAATCTTCAACGCATTGATTGAAACACAAGTGTTTTAAACAGCAAGTCACTACCTTACACGATCCTTTAAAATAAAGAAAGAGTAGAGCTCTCTATTCTAATTTAATTGTTGCTTAATTATCAGGGTAAAAGTATGAACAGCTAAACAGAGATAACCCTCAAGATCAAAAATTCTATTCACTTAACTAATGGAGGATACTAAACATGATTTGTATCTACCAAATGAGATCGTTTTCAGTTAAGACAAGTCGATATTTGCTTTAGTTAGTAGGACAATTTACTTTTGAATAAAGGAAGTAAACGTGGGAATATGAGTACTCTAATAAGCATATATATTAGGCTTGATTTGTACATTGAAAAAAACTACTATCTGGTTATCCTTTCACACAGCCAAAGATAGGAGGTCGTTTAACCAAGTGAGTAAAATTTTCACCAATCTAAAACAGTTTAGATAGATCATCGCCACGTTATTAGTAAGTAGATTGAAAAAAATAAATCAGCCATCGGTTTTTATCGATTCAAATAAAACTACATGGTTACATTTTCAGTAATGAATTTAGATTACCATGAATAAAAGGACACATGAATAGAATAATTTTAGTATAATAGTCTTATTAATTTAAAAGATTAAAGGGGAAAAATTTATAACTCACGTCATCCTGATCACTATTATCTTCCAACTCAGGATCCCTAAGTAAATTTTGCAATGAACGTATATTTTCTCGTGTCCATACAGCTTCCATTTTATCTCCTTCATTATCAACAAATGTACAAGTGAGCTTATTATTAGTGAAAAATAATCAGTATGATAGTTATACCACACAATAAATAAGGAAATTATTAATTGTATCACTTATAAAGGTGACTGACTTGTGGACTTTTGATATAAGTTATAAATAAGACCGAATAAGGCTTATATCAAAAGATAAAAAAGACTAGATCACTGTAATATAATTCAATGAAGCAATTATAAATTTCAGTTGACTTGAATTACTTTTGTGCCTCAGAGAATGAGTTTGATACTTGTTTACTTTTGGCCAAGATGAATCTGAAATTAAAGAAACACTAGACATCTGGGAAAACAGAAGTACAAATGTTCAATACAACCTTTCTACGAGACACTAAGAGAATTAACAAATTCAAGATAACTCTCAACAACAGGTTCTAAGCCTTACAGGATCTACTAAAAGAAGAAAATTCCTGGAGGACGACTGAGACGGGGTCAAAAAAGCACTAACTTCAACGTATCAGAAGGTGCTGAGCCGCAATAAGCATCATCATAAGGAATGGATCTCTATGGAAACCCTAAACAGGATTCAAGAAACGAAGAACAAAAAGACAGCAATTAACAACAGCGGAACACGAGCAAAGAAAGTCAAGGCACATTCTGAGTATACGGAACCAAACAAGCAAGTAAAGAAGAGCATTAGAACTGACAAGCAAAATACGTGGAAGAACTAGCAACGCCGGGGAAAAAAACTGCAAGAGCAGGGAATATGAAACAACAACGAAGAAACTAGCAAGGAAATATAGTAAACCAGGGAGACCGGCCAAGGACAAAAAAGGAAAGACAGTCACTCATAATCAAAAACGGAGGAACTGATAAGTGGAACACTTCGAGGAACCCTTGAATAGACTATCTCCATCAAATCCACCGAACATTGAAGCAGCACCTACAGACTTCCTACAGCTGTCACTCTATCAGTGACAGAACGAATTACGATAGCCATCAGACAAACCAAGAATGGGAAAGCAGCAGGACAATATACCAACTGAAGCTCTAAATTCAGACATAGAAGTGACTGCAAACATGCTGCGCGTTCTACTCAGGAATATTCGGGGGGGGGGAGGAATAACAAGTGCTGACAGACTGGGAAGAAGGATAACTCACCAAAATACCAAAGAAAGGGAATCTGAACAAATATGAGGACTACAGAGGTATCACACTACTGTCAGTACCAGAGAAAGTTTTCAACAGAGCGTTGCTGAACCGGATGAAAGATTCAGTAGAAGCCCAACTTCGAGATTATCAGGAGGGATCCCATAAGGATCGGTCGTGCGCAGACCAAGCCGAGTCACTACAAATCATCGTTGAACAATCAGCAGAGTGGAAGTCGTCACTATAAATCGACTTCATTGACTATGAGAAGGCATTTGACAGTGTGCATAGGAGAACCTTATGGAAACTTCTTCGTCACTGGTTTACTTGAGATCGCCAACATCATCCGGAATCCATACGACGGACTACATTGCAAAATGGTGCATGGAGGACAGTAGACAGATGCACTTCATGTGAGGACCGATGCCAGACAAGGCTGCTTATTCTCTCCCTTTCATTTTCTTCTGGTGGTCAACTGAATTATGAAGACCTCGATATCTGGGGGAAAGCACGGAATGCAATGGATAGCTTGGAATCAACCAAACGATTTGGACTTCGTAGATGACCCAGCCATCCTATCTCTTACACACGAACAAATGCAGCTGAAGTCAAATAGTGTAACAGCAGCTTCTGCATCAGTAGGCCTTAACATACACAAGGGAAAAAGCGAGATCTTTAAATAGAAAACGGAGAACACCAAACCAATCACACTTGATGGAGAGATTCTGAAAGATAAGGAATATTTCATGTACCTGGGAAGCATAATCGATAAACAAGAAAAACCTGATGCAGATGTAAAGCCGAGGGTTGGCAAAGCAAGGGCTCCATTCCTACTATTGAAGAACATATGGAACTCAAAACAACTATCAGCCAACATCAAATTGAAAATCTTCAATACAAACTTCAAGGCAGTTCTATTGCACGAAGTTCAAATTTGAAGAACTACTTCAATTAGCATCAAAAATGTACGGGTATATACATAATTAGTTGTTTACGCAAGATATTCAATCTCCGTTGGTCGGATACCATCAGCAACAACCTACTATGGCAGAGAACAAATCAGCTTCCATCTAAAGAGGAAATTATGAATAGACGCCGGAGATGGATAGAACATATATTGCAGAGATTATCAAACTACATCACGAGGCAAGCCATAACTTGGAATCATTTGGAGAGGAAAGGAGGAAGACCAAGAAATACACTGGGTTGGGAGTTGGAGGCAGACATCAAAAGAATGAATAGCGGTCAGGAACAACTGTAAAGGATTGCCCAGGACAGAGTTGGTTGGAGAATCCTGGTTGGTGGCCTATTCTCCATGAAGCGTAACGGAAGTAATTACTTACTTACGCCTGTTACTCCTCATGGAGGAGCATAGGCCTCCCACCAGCACTCTCCATTCAACTCTGTTCTGGGCGATCCTTTTCAGTTGCTACCCATTCTTTTCATATCTGCTTCCAATTCACGACGTAGTGTGTTCTTCAGCCTTCCACGTTTCCGTTTCCATTTAGGATTCTAAGTTAGGGCTTGCTTCGAGATGCAGTTTGATGATCTGCGTAATGTATGTCCTATCCATTTTCATCGTCTTATCCTAATTTCCTCTTTAGATGGAAGCTGATTTGTTCTCTGCCATAGTAGGTTGTTGCTGATGGTATCCGACCAACGGAGATTGAATATCTTGCGTAAACAACTATTTATGTATATACCCGTACATTTTTGATGTTAATTGAAGTAGTTCTTCAAGTTTGAACTCCTTGTAATAGAATTGCCTTGAAGTTCGTATTGAAGATTCTCACTTTGAGGTTGGCAAACAGTTGTTTTGAGTTCCATATGTTCTTCAATAGTAGGAATGCAGCCCTTGCTTTGCCAATCCTCGCCTTTACTTCTACTTCAGGTCTTTCTTGTTTGTCGATGATGTGTTTTGATGAGTTTGATACCTGAGAACTTAATTATTTTTCAAGTGTCTATTTGATTTTGTAGTGCTCAGAATTTCTAACTTTTACTAGAAGTAATATAAGAGATCATTGACTAAGTAATGACTAATATAAAGGATTCGCAGACTGGGACATCTTTCACATATTATTTCAGATGCTGAAATATTAAACATTATTTTTCAACACAGGTACTAATCATCAATAATAAGATAGCAATCAGTTTATAAAGATGTGAACCTTACAGTGTTCAGTCAATTACCAAAAACGTTCCTCATATCTTAGTCGACCTTTTATTCAATGTTCATAATATAACCCTTCAATTTATCCATATTACTTTTAAAACAAATACTCAAATTCTTTAATGGAGCAGTTGACTAGTTCCTCTTTATACAAATAAAATTCAAACATAAAGTATCAACAAAAACAGAACAATGAATTCTGATACGATTATTCTATTCAACATAAAACTGTTATACTAAAATATTTGTGCTTTCTCTAGTTGTAAAAGTTGTGACAAATATACAATATTCAACCCAGTTCTGATGGTTTTAGCAATTCATTAAAGAGGTTAATTCATTGTACTATTTGGTGTTATTGATTCATTTTGACTCCATAAGTTTAACCGTTTAGCTGACAAAGCATTATTAACATCAAACTGTGGTTGATTTTTCGTCAATTCATGTGGAATTAGTTCCATACGAAGCGTTGTACGATCTACTATGCCAGACGCAACCAATGTTGCAGAAAGATCAACTAACATTTGGTGATTGCATAGTTCATTGGGATTTTCAATAGTGTTTGGTAAACACATAGCTACAAGACGATAATTTCTATTGGTTTTTGATAGTGTTTTTGATCTAGCATGATCTAATGTTGCATATAACTCTCCTATTGTATCTTCTGGATGCATTTCAACATTGTAAATTTGCAAACCATTTTCCGAATAAATCCTTAATGTTATAAGTTCTGATTTTAATTGATTCTTGTCTATTGTGTTATTTTTAAATATGTAATCAGTTTTAATTATTCTAGTTGACGGAACATTAATTTGTTCACCAAATTCACTTTTTATGTCTTTTCTAATATTTAACAGCTGACCAGATTTTGTTAATTTATACTCCGGTAAACGTTTTAGCAATTCATCAAAAGTTAAAGATTTATTTCGCCCATTAGTACTTAATGTGTTTGAAGTTAGTTTATTGGATGAGGCATTACATTCTGCTTTCATTTGATTTTCAATTCTAAAATGGAACGTATAAATTATATAGAAAATGAGTTACAAAACAGTTTAATTTGCAGATATGTAGTATTCATATTTGTGGTTATGACCTATTTAACTTAAGATCTCAAATAGTATTATGTTTAAATTCATTCGGTAGTGTTTGCTTGAATCTTCCCATTGATGTTTAGGACGTCAGTTGACCAGTCTCTTATGAGCATATGTGTATCCTGTGATGATTGCCTAGACGTTGACCTAATTCACAAGCAATATGAGCAAATATAGTTGGTGGCTAACAGTGGAATCTAGGACGCTCGTGAAAATCAACTTTGGAATGCAGGTAGGCCCAGCTGACGGGTCCTAAATAGGACAAAACGCGGGTCCTGGATTCCACTGCTAGCCGGAAACCAACTTTTCTTATAGTATTATGGTTGTGTCAAAAAGACAACCGGAAAGTTTACATTTTTTACACGACTTGTGGTGCGTGCTACTTATATTGATATAAGTAGTATGTAGAGCGAGTTAAAACGTAATGTCTGGCAGCAGAAGATGAGGGGAAGATCAAGAAAGGAAGAGCGAAAACACAATGGAATTTGTAAGAAAATGCATGAACAATGGAATAGAAGACAATGGATTGGTTTTTGCAACAGGAACAGTCCAGTTTGATATGATGCATTAATATTTTGTAAATTGACGATTTATTATATGGTTTTCAGATTTTATTGAGAGTCTGTAATTCTTGTGCTTAAAGCATCGGATTGTCATTACCCATGTCCTTGCCCACTACAGACTCAGTTCAGTATTTAAAGGTGATTGCAATGTTTTGATCTGCTGGTCTATAGTCCATCTGCTCTTCCATTAACCATTAATAGTGTGCTGAAGTACGTATTGTCTGACAATGCGTCAAAAATATATTTCACTAGACATTTTACGACATCAACAATCGAATTTTTTATTCAAAAAATTTCCGTTCATACAGTAGTATGTCTTATACACCTTAGGTTACTTTATTTATGACTGTTATTAGTTGTAAATAAATCATGTACTGGGATCTGGATATTTCGGTTTCCAAAAAAGACTATGAATAAATTCGACCACTGGGTTACTTTTAGTAGCACTTCTATCGTCTTGAGACGAGAATGTTCTGAACACTTTGATGTACAACGTTTTCTGCTTAAATGGAGATGTACCCAGTAATTAAAAAAATGTTGTACATCAGCTAGTTCGGTTGTCAGTTGAACTCAGTTCAGTTAGACAAATAGTATCCCCAGCTGTCACACACTAAATAAGGCTTTAATACTAGCAAACAAACTTATGTTTGACTAACGAACCGTTATTTATTAAACTTCAAATGATGTTATACTAGACACCGGAAGAAAATGTTACTTGAAAGATCAGTTTTACTGTAGTGATAAATTAGTGCTTATGGTTTCTTCACAATATTTTCCAAGTTAAAATCTTTGAACAAAAGCATGTCTGAATGTACTCTCTTTGTAGTTTTTAGTTTTTAGTAGTGAGTCAGTTTACTAGAAATTATGAACATTAATCAAGCCATTCAGAGAAAACATTTCCAACACTCAGAAATATCAAGTCATCTTTAATTATTTCTTACTGTCCAATACTGAATTCTTCGTTTTTATCATTGTTTGGTATGTGTTTCTCATTACTGAAAGAAACTTCCTGACCTGCATCTTGTTCATTTGTTAAAGAACTCCCGAGTTTATAACCGCATGCTGAAAATGATGTTGGTTTTTTTAATAACATAAAATGAGTTGTGTGTTTATCGATTAGTTTGAATTGAACCCCATTTGGATAAGAAGATTGCAATTCTGATGGAAAGTAACCGTCCAGTATATCCTAAAAAATTAGAAGAACATGGTATACTTAGATTCAGAATAGAAACTATCATAATTTGAAGGAATTTCTCGTCATGAATTGATATTTCAGCTGGAGAGGCGTTGAAGACATAAGAGAATTAAACAGTTGTTTCTTCATCACCAAAGACTCTTCAGTACTTTCCATCCATGTCTTGGCCAAATCATCAAAATGATGACTCGATTTTTAAATTGTGACCTAGTGCTCTAAGGAAATCGTATGCAAAGTTAGTGGGATCAACTCTGCGAAAAATTATGGAACGATACCGTTGAGGGTTACAAAGCGAGGATAAGACGGATGCCTAGTACACTACAGCTTACAGTAATTCTCTATCTGATGGTAGTCTATAGGTGAGAACTATTTTTATTTCAGTCAATAATAAAACAGATGCTTTAAAACGTTATGAAAAACCAGTGGCTGGTTTTGGTTGTACCAAAGTTAATCAAAACAACTTGATTAACATGTCGTCATACTATTCCCTTCAACTTTCCCCTGTCAGAATAACATTTTGTTATTTGATGTCTGCTTTCAAAATTATTCCTATCACTCACAGTTTTATTGTTTTAAACAATTATTGATAAGTGGTACAGAGTAGGGCCATGAAACACCCTACCTTCAAGAGATTCAAACTAAATTCTTATATTCACTGGTAACATTAAAATTAATTAGCAAATCTTAAGATCAATTATGCATAAAAAAGGAGTATAAATGATGAAGTAACTTTATTGAGCATAAAAATAAGTTACCAAGTTAACAACCAACTTAATTGATTTCTTGTTGAATTTTATAGGGCTATAACTTTTTATATGTAAATTACTCAGGAATTTGGTTCGAAATGTTTTTATAAAAGAGAAATTGTTTTGTTCGGAATTTTTCAGTGTTATAGATTCCAGTTGTTTGAGAGCTTTAGACTACTTACATAAGGTAAGTCATATAGTCAATGGAAACAAAAAAATCGAAATATTGTTTCTTTTTAATTTGTGGCTTTTTAACGTTCTGTAGCCTTAATTATCCTTGTTTTCCATGAACGATTTACTTTTACTCAGATACAATGATATCTGGAAAATGCCAAATCAAAAGTAAATAGGAACAATAGCCTATGATGTTGAAAGTGCAGTTAGTCTGTATCATCTATCAAATTAATTCATAGAACTATAATCACTTTATTCTACTTGAACAGATTAATCTTACTGCTTTCCAAGGAGTAAAGTAATGTGTGATTTTATAGAATAAAGAGAATCAAAGATATTCACAATAAAAAGTTTCAAACTAGTAACGGTCATCTATCTATGGTGGGATAAAAAGGCAAAATCACATTTTTAATTTATTGTGAATCTTGCTGAACATTACTTCTATTTTTAATTCAGCATGGGGACCATTCAGTATAATATTTTTTTATGCTTTTAGTTTGCTATTTTATTCAACATAACGTTGATTTACTTTAGTGTAATTTTTATTCAAGAAAGATATTACCGTATTAGATTAATGTAATCTGTGTTCAGTATAGCATGCAACGTGCACTCTTGCTATAAGTTCGTATATGTGACTTCTTACTAATTAATAGTAAAATGTTTACAAATCATTATATAAATGAGTGCATTCTGAACTTAAGTCGTTGTCATGTTCTTGGGGTTAATAAAACTTCACTTGCACCACTTTTTGTGTTCTTACTTTGAGTTGTGGGAATTGTAGTGGTTCCTCGTTCCAAGTACGTCCAATAAACAATGTGGATATAACCCTGAGACGAGTCGTAGTTTTTTTACTCTTTATTATTTCTTGTTGAAACTTTGTCTGTTCCTATTAATCACGTCTAAATATGTCATTAGATAAAATAATTCTAGAGTTCTAAGTGTAGCATCATCGGCTGCCTTGTAATCCTCAGTTTAACGTTGATTATTTACCACTTATTTGACAAGTAACGTACCGTTATACTATTTCGGGCAAATAATTTGTGTATATATAACAGATTTAACTCTCTCATAAAAAATAGTTTTAGTATGCTTACTAGTAGTTCTATCCTTTGAGATCTGGTCGGCTGTAATTACCAAATCGTACATTACCAAATCATCAGTTTGGTTATTTTATTCTGTCTATCATTTTACAAATTAGTTGTGTCATTATAATTTACATTAATCAACGTTTAGCATGAAATAATTTTACTCAAAAGTGACAAAGTAAGATTACTTGGACGAATTGTAGCGTATCATGATTTTTATAAGGACGAAATGGTCCAGAATCAAAGCATAATCCATCTGCATATAGAGTTAGTGGAATTGGTGATTGATTTTGCAGGCAAACTATATTAGATGAATTGGATTCTGAAACAATTTTTTTCTCATTGTGCGCATCGTTGTTCCAATCATTTAATAAATAAATCTGTTGAACTAAGCGACTGAAGGTTGTTTCGTTGAATTCTTATTATTGATAAACAAATAGCAATATTATTGTCATTAGATTTATAAACAAAGCCTACTTAGACCAGTTTCATGTCTTGTACTGATTACATGATCAGTTGATTGTCTTCCTATCCACATGAGACCATGGTCATGAAAAAATTCCTTCATTTCAAGAATCTATGAATCGAAATAATATATGTATTTATTCATTTCATTGCTTACTTGTCCTTGTAACTCTTCGCAATATTTCTGCAGCCTTTCTATATTTTTCTGATCGGTCACTTCAATATTATCTTTTCTCTCGTCAGCATGGAGTATTTTGAGTTTACTTTCCAGTAGTTCGATTTGTAAAGTTTGTCTTTTAATCACTAATTTCTATAAAAAATATTGTAACAGACTTCCAAATTATGAATAAAATCACATGTATGCCGAATGAAATGTTGAGATGCAAGTTCTCACAAAAGGTTTCCCCCTAAAGTCCTCCAATTATGTCATCTAGGGTTTACTCACTTTAGCATTTCTAGCCACTTCTTGGAGCCGCAAGAAACAAGAGTGAAAACATTGCGACTATATACATGTATATTATTCTGGTACCTGATTTGTTCAACATAAGGCCATTTAGATGAAATGAGCAATATGAATAACTAAACAGAATCAGAGGCACACAAAATTTCTTGTTTGTTTGCCGTCGGTTAGTAAAAGTTCGTTACATCAAAGAACATTGAATTCCTTGAACCTATACCTTAATGAAACTAAGGAAACCGTAAAACGTTTGACTATTACTTAGGATGTTCACAGCCTTTTAATTCAAACGAAATATCAATTTTTACTTTAATATTTAGTATTTATATACAAATATGTGAGAATTAAACCAATCACGAGCAAATAACAACAAAAAAGTGAGTCATGCAACTATTCATAACAAATAAGAACCAATCATGATAAAAATCCGTAAATCGCATTGTAGCTGTGACAGAAACTTGGTTAGTCCAGAAATTCGACATTACTCTAGAATTATCCGGATACCACTACCTGAGAAGTGATAGAAAAGAAGATGAAGGGAAAAAAGGTGATGTCCTTTTATACATAGCCAATAATATAAATATCCGCTCCTCTGCTAGCGAATCCCATGACAGTGGAACTTGTGAAGTCACTAGCTGTGAGCTGACTATCGGTGTGATACATTTATACTTGGTGTCATCTATCACAGCCCAATCTGCTTATTTGATGACTTTATTTTAGAGCATATTCGGCTATGGAGTGCAAAAAACAGATGCTTGATATTAGGAGACTTTAATGCATCTGATATTAGTTGGACTGAGATGACCACGGAAGAATCTATAAACTCCTTTGATAGTAGGTTCCTGGTAACAATAATGGAGCATGCATTAGTGCAGCATGTATCCAAACCCACACGTTTTGGTGCCAACCAAGGTTCTTCTCTGTTGGACTTGGTAATCACTCATGAGACTGAGGATATTGTCGATCTAAATACTCTTCCACCGTTAGTGAACAGAGATCACGCTGTTTTTTAATTCACGTTTAGAACTATGAACATGATATACAGTCAAGTTACACCCCGTACAAATGTATGGAAAGTCATTCAGGAGTGCCCTGCTGAGACAGATTGGTCAGTAAATACTAGCTTATCAGTTAGAGAAGCATGGTCCATATCTTGAGGCAAGTTTAGTTCAATTACGTCCTCGCTTATACCATGCCAGGTACCACGTAGAACGAACGACTGTCCACCATGAATAACGAAACAAGTCAAGAAACTACCTAGAAGAAGGTAAAAGAACTGGAATATGTTCATCTCTACTAGCTTAGAACAGTACAGATCCAGTTATCATAAGACTAGCAATACTTGTAAAGCGTTATTAAGTAAGACTAGACGATCATATGAAAAACAGTTTGTAAGAGATTGTAGATATATTTCGAAACGCTTATTCTCGTATATAAAATGGCAAACTCAGAAAAAGAATGGAGTTCCATCACTTCTGATAAAAGGAAATTAGTTAATCTTGGCAAGAAACGATACCAAAAAAAGCTTAGGCTTTATCGGAATATTTCAGTAAAGTGTTTTCTATCGGTAGTGAAGGACGATCAACGATCCATTGTGATTGTAGTGACTCGTTGATAGACCCTGTAGTCAGTGAGAAAGATACTGTCTTAAGGCTACTTCAGCATCTGAAACCTGATAAGTCCAGTGGTTCTGATGATATTCATTCTAAGATTATGATAGCCATATAAGATGTAATGTCTCTGAGGCAATTCAAACTCCCCAGAGGCTGGGAAGACGCGATAATAGGTCCGGTGTATAAGGCTGGAAGTAGGGATTTAGTTAATAATTATAGACCCGTTAGCTTAACTAGTGCAGTTGTAAAACTGATGGAATAAAGTATTCGGATATCTGTTGTGAACAATGTTGAAGGGCATAATCTTTAACCTAGAGAACAACATGGTTTTTGGAGAGGCCTATCATGTTTGGCAAATCTTCCCATTGCAAGAGAAGATTGAGCTGCGGCAAAAGACCGAAATATTCCTGTAGATGTGATTTTCATAGATCTAAGTAAAGCCTTTGATAAGGTCTCCCATTCTGGTCTTAAACTGCAAAGTTTTGGAATCCATTAAACAGTCAATAAAAAACCAATAACTATAAATCTTAGCTTCAAAGGTGATGATGTTGCAAACACAATCAACAGGAATCTGAAAACTGCGCTAGCCAGAACTTATCTGGCGGCCAAACTTCTACTTCTGTATAAAACAATATGTTCAGTAACTCAATCAAAGGTTGACAAGCACCCCTTTCATGTTACTGCCAACTGTATTTATTAATTTATGTGTACCTGCCAAAGCAGTTACATTAGCCAAACAGAAAGGAGGGCATATCTTAGGTTTTTTGAACATGTTCCAAAAAGCCTCAGAACAAAAGAAAAAAGACTCTAAACAGTGCAATCCTCAAACATCTCCTTGATACAGTACATAAAGTCGATACCCTGCAATAATTCAAGGTGATCAGTAAGCAACCAAACTCTAGTATCCTGAAGTTTGCTAAAGCCATGGCTATCAAATGCCAAAAAACTGATTTATATGTTCAAAAGGAGATGTTTAATAATCTTTTCTTGACTTGGTGACTAATATCCCTTCGCTGTATCTTAATATATATGTTTTTCTTCAAACTTTTTCTTGCATTTATTACATCATCGAGTTTTATTTCAATTACCTTCCAAATTAATAGTCTTACTTTATCAACTGAACTCTGCTCATTTTATTCCTATCAATGTTTACTCATTATATAATCACTTGTTTCTAAGTGTTTGAACTGTTGTCACAATCAGTGTTGTAAAACGCTCTTTTACAAAAAGTATATATTTACAGTATTCAGTCCATTAAATTTATTTACACCCTTGCTATACTATACTAATATGTCTTCAATATAACTTCCAAGCAAACCCTCTCATGTAAGTGATTTAAACATATTATGTAATTATGATTATAAATATCACAGGTTGTAAGCAGCTGACGAGAATCAACGAAATAAAATAAATTCATGCTATTCCGCTAGAATGCTTGTTCTTGTTCTTTTCGAAATGATAAAGGAAACTATGAAACAGTCATAGATTAGAAGAGTGATTTTCTCCATGACAGGAAGCAAGGGGCAAGGAAAAATGGAGCTCTCTTCTCGTGGGAACCTGTAAAAAGTGGATTTCCACTCGGTTCCCTTCTCTCTTTACTTTATGTAAATGAATTACCAACTGTAGCAAAATCATCCGTTCTACTTTTTGCTGATGACATAAAGATTTAGATACCCATACACAGTATGTCAGAGTAGTATTACAGAATGATCTAAGATCATTGGTGGCATGGATGGACAGGTGGTCATTAGAAGTAAATTCTAACAAGAGCAATTAAATAACTATGATGATTTGTATCACCACACAATATGTGGATTCGTGCTATCCAAATTAAGAGAATATAAAGTTTCAGAAGTCAGACTAAGCAGTGATCTCAAAACAACTAGTCACTGTAAGGCTGATGCTGCAAAAGGCTATAGGGTATTGTGGTTTATTCGTAGGTCTTTCCAGTATTTGGATGATGAAATGTTTAGATTATTATACCTGACTTTCATGCAATCACATTTAGAATATGGAATCCAAGCAGTGAGTCCTTGTTACAAGTATGATGCAGATATGCTGGAATGAGTCCAACGACGAGGGACTAAGATGGCAAAAGGTCTATCTGGCCTGTCATATGAAGACAGACTGAGACACCCTAACATAGTTCTTTCATCTTATCGTAGGGTACGGGATGATCTGATATTGGCTTATCGTATACTGAACGATGGCCTTGGTATTAATATGTCTTATCTTTTCCTTCCGTCTAGGACTGATCATTTGAGAGAACATTCGAAGAAAGTTCAAAAACCGAGGTCAGATCGTCTACGTCTGGAGTTTAATTTTTTGCACCGAGTAGCGAGTTACTAGAATTTTTAATCAAAACACTTAATATCAGAACTTTTTGTTGATATATTTAAAACGAGATTGGAACTGCACAGAGTCACAAACTGCAAGGATTAATATAGGTCGATAGACCTATCCATATTACTGAGGACTGAAGTAACTGTGGGGTGACGGGTATGGAGAATGGCAAGTAATCATAAAGATACACTAAATAAATACTTGGAGTAGGAAGTGGGATTGTAAAAATTGGCGTATATTATGGACATCTGTAGATGTCAGAGATTTGATGTTTTAAAATTCAGATCTTCATTGTTTCGTAAGGTGTATGGATAAACTGTTGGCAATTGTCACATCAGCTCTTCAAATGGTGGTAGATGATGTTAAAATATGAAAAACATCGCACATTATTGTTGTAATATTAGTAATACAGGTCAATTCGGATGTTGTCTACATAGACTTCAGTAAGGCTTTTGACAAGGTGCCAACTAATAGACTGCTATTGAAGTTGGCAAACCTTGGTATTGCCGGACCTCTTTTAAAATGGGTTAAGGATTTTCTAGTAGGTCGTAGGCAAAAAATAAGAATAAATTCCAAGTGCTCCACCTGGAGACCAGTACTTAGTGGGGTACCTCAAGGTTCAGTCCTAGGTCCTTTACTTTTTATATTGTACGTTAATGATCTTACAAGTATAGTACAGTCTCCAATGTTATTATACGCTGACGATGTAAAAATTTGGCGAGTAATAACTGGAGACACAGACGCATTTACTCTTCAGGCGGACTTAAATAATATGATAAACTGGTCTAAAGAGTGGCTGATGCCTGTCAACTCGGAAAAGTGTGTCTACATGCACTTAGGGGATTCAAAGGTTAATACATACAACATAGGGGATGTGTCATTGCGCGTAGTCCGGTCTCATAAGGATCTAGGGGTGACAGTTAGCAATGATCTTAAGACGATGGTTCATTGCCGGGAGGTTGCAGTTAAGGGGTTTTGAACCCTCTGGGCTTTAAAAATGACATTCACTAAGTTTGATACTACCATGTTCACCACATTATACACATCCTTAGTGAGAACTAAGTTAGAGAACTGTGTTCAGGCTGCAAGCCCCTGTTTAAAAGGTGACTCAGACATACTAGAAAAAGTGCAGAGGGCAGCTACGCGTGCAATTCCGGAACTTCGGGGTTTATCATATAAAGAGCGGCTTGAAAAACTGAACCTCTTTACTCTGTCCTATCGCAGACTAAGGGGAGATCTAATAGTGATGTACAGAATATTGAGACATGATTTCGGACCTAACTTATTCTCTCTTTTTCTTTCCACTAGATCGGGACACCTCAGAGGACATAGCAGGCGAGTAGAAAAGCCAAGAACGAACAAAATACCCGTGGCATACAGGTTTTCACACCGAGTCATCAATACTTGGAACCTGCTGCCTGAAGCAGTGGTGTCCGCACCTTCAATTGACTCTTTCAAGAGAAGACTGGACACTCACAGAAGCATACTAGAAAAGGAATAACATAGGCTGTAGGCCTTCTGTCCTTACCACACAAATCTGAATCTGAATCTGACCTAACTGAGTAGTCTGACTGGCAAAAGTTCGAAACAAGATGTGATAAAAGTTGTGATGAGTGAAATAAACAGAAAAGCTTAAATATTTGAAAATCCCTCGTAATAACCGAATATACTGTTGACAAAAATAAGATAACATTAACTTGATATATGTACGTAAATTCTTGAGACCTACATACTCACTATTTTCTTTTAACAAAGCCTCATTCTTTTTCAGAAGTGAGGACAACAGTGTCGGATCGTTAGCTAAAGTAGGTTTTTGTTGACTCAGCACAGTTTTAAAATTTAATTCGCTTTCACTGTTCTCCATTTTCTTTAGACCATCGATGAATTTTCGAACAGATATTTCTGAAGTGATTACATCACAAAGATTATCTGCAGAAGATGATAAACCACAAGATGAGGATCCGTTAGATGTGCTTGGACAGGATAATATGACTTTTCCTTCAGTGTTTTTTAAATCTCGAAACTTTGGTTCACGCTCGCAACCTTGACGCGTCATTGTCATGACTACGTTTGTATAATTTGAAGAGAAAAAGTGGTACGAATAATGTAGTGGTTATCTCAATAGTGAACTTACGTCTGACCTGTAAATTTTTAATCCTAGAATATTTATACCGAATCACATAAGATTATTCAGTTGGGACTAGCACAAGCCATCTAGCCTCCTGTCCCTTCCAAATTGAAACTGGTTCTTGACATGAACGTGGTGTTTATGACAAATTAGAAGATATTGACGTGTCCCTCCTACTCTTTACTTTCAGTTGTGAGCATTATGAACAGTTAGTCTACCTAGTTTGACGACCAACAGGTTCAGTAACCTGGTCATGCAACATATTATATCACAACCATGTACAACCTATCTTTCTTTGTGCAAGTATGGCTATCAGGCATGG